TTTGCTCCATGAAATAAAGGTTTTTTATTTTTTCAGGTCTGAGATTGGAATGTGAACTTGGTACCTCATACTTTTGATCATTGATTGGCTCTCTGCCAACTGAACCACACCTCCAACCCCTAGTAAAGATTTTGGCCTTTGTTCACTTTAGTATTCTTGGTGGCTAGAACAGTGTTTGTTCTATAATGAGTATTCAATAAATAGTTGCTGAACAAATGAATAGTGTCACATATAAGTACATACCACAAATTGAGAAAATTGTTTTTGGTATGTGCTGGTACCAGGGCATGAACTCAAGCCCTTGTACTCTTCTTTGACTTTTTCACTTATAGCTTGCACTATACCACTTGAACCACACCTCTAGTCCAACTTTAGAAACGAGTGTCTTAGACTTTTCTGCCCAGCTGGACTTTGAACCAGGATCCTTAGGTGGCAGTCTCTTGAGTGGCTAGGATTACAGGCATGAGCCATTGGTGCCTGGCTCAGAATAATTTTGATAAAGGCTTCTAATGTCTCTAAAATGTTTTATTTCTGAAAATTGAAAAATGAAATAAAATGCAAAATATTAAGCTTTGATGATGGGATTTGGTAATGGTAAAATTAATGATCTGAACATTATTATTTTTATTTGTTTTTTGTTTTGGAGTTCTTGGGATCAAACCCAAGATCTCACCCATTTGGCAAACATTTTATCAACAAGTTACATCCCCAGATAATACACACACACAGACACACATACATATACCCAGATTATATATACAATATATATTGCAATATTAGGGTTTGAACTCAGAGCTTTGTGCTTGCTAAGTAGGCATCCTACTGCTTGATGCCATGGCTAATTTTGCTTTGGTTATTATTATTATTATTTTTTGCTGGTCCTGGGCAAATTCTGTGTCTAGGCACTGTCCCTGAGCTTCTTTGACTCAAAGCGAGTACACTACCACTTGGGCCAGGCACCACTTTTGGCTTTTTCGAGTAGTTCATTGGAGATGAGAGTTTCCTGCCCTGACTGGCTTTGAACCATGATCCTTAGGTCTCAACCTCCTGAGTAGCTAGGATGACAGGTGTGAGCCACTAGTGTCCCACTTGCTTTTGGTCACTTTTGATACAAAGTTTTGTGTTTCTGTCTGGATCATGACCCTTACACTTACATTGAATGCACAGCTGAGATCACAGGCATGGCCATCAAGGCAGGTTGACCCTCAAGCTTCCCAACCTCTGCCTTCTGAGTAGTTGGGAATATACATGTGAACCATTGCACCTGGAGCCATTTTTATATTTCTTTGAAATATTTAAGTGATAGGAAAAAAATGTTTGGAGAAAACTTTGAAGAAACTTTGAGCCTCTTTGTGTTCAAGACTAGTGCTCTGCTAGTTCTGGCTTTTTGAGTAGTTTGTTGGAAATAAAAAGCCTTTCTGGGTAGCTAATTGGAGATAAGAATCTCATGGACTTTACCGCTTGGGTTGGCTTTGAACCATGATCCTCAGAGCTCAGCCTCCTAAGCAGCTAGAATTACAGGCATGAGCCCCTGGTGCTTGGCTTAATAGGAGATTATTAGGGATTGTTGAAGGAACCTTTTTCATCCAGGAGTTGATAGTGGGTAGAATGGTAAGAAAATGCAAGCAGTAGGTGGAGAAATGGTAATAGAAAATTTATTCATTTTGTGTGCAGGATGAAAAACCCATTTAAAAGGTAGAGATGTAAAACACTTGGAAGAGAGAAGATTAAGAGATTTAAAAAATTAGAGAAAGGAGAGAGGCCAGATTAAGAATAGCAAAGGGCATTTCATTTGGCAATGAGAAGAGGCACTATTTCTGCAATGTAAGGAATTGCAACAAGAAAGACCCAAGTAGAGATGAAAAGGTGAGAAAGTTCGTATTTGTTTCACTGAAGAAACAAATCACGCCATATATTGGCATTGAGAAACTGATAGTTGAATTTGCAACAATGCTTGATAGGAAATGTACTCATTATCTTGTCCATGTAATTGTAGCCCCCCTGTACAGTATTTTCACAATAATTAAAAGAAAGAATAAATGATTGAAACTTAAGAAAAAAAAACAAAGAAACTGGTAGTTGAGACGGGAAGTCCAAGTTAATGAATTAGTTCACACACTTGGAGCCTCGATGAGTTCAGGCTTTGAAAGGTCTGAACAGCAGAACTAATCTGACTTGGTGCATTTGAACAGCTTGAGAAGTAGTGCCACTAGCAACATTTTTTGTTTTTGTTGTTGTTTATTTGTTTTGGTGCTGGTACTGGATCTTGAACTTAGGGTCTTATACTCTTGCTTAGCTTTTTTTGCTCTAGGATGGCACTCTTATCACTTGAGCCACTTCCAGCTCTTTGCTGATTAATCAGAGATTAAAAGTTTCTTGGCCTGGGTGCAGGTGGCTCATGCCCTTAATACTAAAGGACTCAGGAGGCTGAGTTCTGAGGATTGAGGTTCAAAGTCAGCCCAGGCAGGAAAGACAGTGAGACTCTTATCTCCAATAAACCACCAGAAAACCAAAAGTGGTGCTGTGACTCAAGTGGTAGAGTGCTAGCCTTGAGCTGAAGAGCTGAGCGACAGTGTCCAGGCCCAGAGTTCAAGCCCCATGACCAACAACAACAACAACAAAATTCTTGGATTTGTATGCCCAGATTGGCCTTGAACCAGGATCCTCAGATCTCAGCTTCCCCAGTAGTATTACAAGTGTCAGGTATCAGCTACTTGTGTCCAGCAACAGTGGCTTTTCTTTTTAAAAAATGTTATTATAAAGGTGATATGTAGAAGGGTTACTGTTACTTAAGTCAGGTAATGAGTACATTCTTTTTTTTGGGGGGGGTCCGGTTGTGGGGCCTGAACTCTGGGCCTGGGCGCTGTCCCTCAGCTCTTCTGTTCAAGTCTAGCGCTCTACCACTTGAGCCACAGCGCCACTTCCGGCTTTTTTTCTTTTTGCTTACATGGTGCTGAGGAATTGAACCCAGGGCCTCAGGCATGCAAGGCAAGCGCGCTACCACTGAGCCACCTTCCCAGCCCATGAGTACATTCTTTTGGACAATGTAACCCCTTCTCTCAACATGACTTTCAATGTGATTAAACTATCACCATTTTGTAGGTAAGGAAACTGAAACACAGAGAAAGTAAATGACTTGAAAAAGATCACACAGCTCATGAGGATGACCTAAAATAGAAACTCTGGGTAGTGTGGGAGTCCATGACATTGACATTCACATAGTGGGATTACAGGAGGTTCCATGTTTAAAATAATACAGCTTGTAAGAAGATGAAGGGATAGTAGTTTTCCAATAGTACTTGGTCTTTTTTTTTTTTTTGTCTGTCATGGAGCTTGAACCCTGGGCCTGAACACAAACACTGTTCCTCAGCAATTCAGCTCAAGCTGCAATCCTCAGATCTCAGCCTCCTGAGTAGCTAGGATTATAGGCGTGAGCCACCGGTGTTGGCTAGTACTTTGTCTTCTGTTTCTCTAAGACATTAAAAATTTTTCAATTACTGTTGTTTTCTTTTAATTCAAAGCCTCAAATTCCCAGAAATTCCTGAACAAATCTAACTCTTCTTTTAATCACCCCAAATGGTTTTTTATCTTCCCAGAAATGCTCATTATGTTCATATTTTCTTCAGTATGATGCCAGCTTATTTATTTTTTATTCCTGTTTAAGTCTTCATTCTTCATGAAATCAGTTATCTTTAAAAGTGAGCACTTCTTGTTTTGGGAGTAAACAATGGTAAAGGTTGATCAGCAAGCCACCTTGCCCAGTAGTGGTAACAGAGTCCAATCACATCCACATCCACAAGGGCCAAATAACTACCCCCGATGACATTTTGCCAATACCATGACACCAAGCCTTTACCACATGAGTAAACTCCTCCACCTCCTCCTCTTCTTCCTGGTGGTCATGGGTCATACATTCAGGGACTGGGCACTGTCCCTGAGTTCTTTTGCATAAGGCTACTGCTCCACCACTTTTGCCACAGTGCCACTTCCAGTTCTTGAGTGGTTCTTGAGATAAGAGTCTCATGGGGACTTTTCTGTCCAGGCTGGCTCTAACTCTGATCCTCAGATCTTAGCCTCCTGAGTAGTTAGGATTACAGGTGTGAACCACCGGTGCTTGGCAGACTTCTTATTATTTGTAGACGTTTTCTTTCTGGCTACTCAGAAATATCTTTACTTGATTTTGTTCATAATTTTTTTCTTAATCATCTTAAGTATTTTATACATCTCGTACACAATTTACTGTTCTTTCCCCCTAAAATACAGACTTTTTTGGTTAAATAGAAAACATTGATTTCATCAACATTAAAAACACTGGTCAGTTTATAGCTTCTGCTAAATCACCTTGTGGTGATCACAGCCCTTCAGCTTTCCCAAACGAATAGTTTAGTTAATAACAATAAAAGTCATAATGGTTAGTAGTTGCCGAGTACTTTGGTTTTTAAAAGGACTTTTGTATCCATTGAACTATTTGAACTGCCTAGCATCACTTTGGGTGATAGGGCTGAGTTCATTGCTTCCATTTTACAGGTAAAGAACTTGAGGCTTAGAGAGATTAAAAAGTTAGCCTGGGGGAAGTAAATTCTACATCTAGGTCTGGAATCTGGCTCTTCCTGACTCCAAATCCAGGTTTACAATGCCTCTCCACTTTGTAGTGAATCTTTAGGAACCTGCTATTAAACGCATGATGATTCCCCCTACCCCCTTTTATTGCCTTCTTTTTCTGTTGGCTTCTGTTGCCCAGCAGAGGGGCTTCCTGATGTGCCTGTGTCCAGTCTGGGCATTTCAAGGGAGCACCCACGGGTTCCTTCCTGCCTCCCATCTTTCTCTCCTTCCTTTGCCGTGGTCCTTCCAGTTTCACCATCTGTGCAAATCTCCTTTCCCTAGCTTCAGCTTTCCAAGTCTTCTCTTAGCCCCCAAAGCCCGTGGGACCTCCCATCCCGCTCATCAGCAGGAGAGCCCATCCAGGAAGGGGAGGCCGGGGAGGCTGAGGGCCTGGCCTTCAGCACGCTGGGAAGCCATGCTGAGGGTTACTTCTGCATTTCCTTCCTGGCAGTCCTCGGGAGCATCGCCTCCTCGTCGCCCTCCAGCCCGGCTCTCTGCAGCCCGCCCCGGATCCGCCTCCTGCTTCTTCCTCCCGGAGGTGGTGGAGAGCGCGCGGCGCACCTGAGTCCCTCTCCGGTCATCCCCGCGGAGGCACTGGGGGCTGCTGCTGGGGAACAGGATTTACAGGCCTGGAGAACGCCAATGGGAGATCCAAATGGTCGGGGACTCCGGCACTTTAAGAGGCTTTTCTCTGGGAAACACCCGTCCCCTCCATGCGCCTTATGAATGGAAATACTCCTCCCCCGGTCGAGCCCATTTTCCCATTTCACCAGGAGCCGAAGCCTGCTCTCTCCTGTCGGTCTCCCCGCCCACATCCACGCGGGCAGCTCCAGGAGGGGACGGACAGGAAGCCTTTGGCCGCCTATTAAATCCCACCCATTTCTCCGGGGGCGATTTCCTAACCTTCCGGGACCGAATTCTGCAATTTGATGTGCGTTTTGTCCGAATGGTAGCGACACGGGCCTAAGGGAGGGGGAACGCGAGGGGGTGGGGGGTGGGGGGTATGCGCTCTTTTCCTCGCAACATCGCTGGCGGAGCGAGGGAGCTCACACGACACAGATTTTGGGGCAAAGCCTTTCCATCTGGACAGCACCATGTCCACCAAAGCGGAGCAGTGTAAGTAGCAGCCGGCCCCGGCATTCCGGCCCGGCCTCCGGCTGGGAGCTATTGCATTTGCGGCGTTTGCGGCTGCTGGGAGACCTTGGCATTGTGCTGGTGCGGGGGTGGGGGCTGAGGTTGGGGAGGGTGGGGGGTGCGGGGTGGAAGAGGAGGTGGGGGAGGGGGAGTTAATGGCAACGCGGCGCTGTCCCTGGTGCTGAAACCCCCCCCCCCCAACCGATGCTGTCTTCTCGGGCTCGTGGTAAGGTTTCACCAAACTAAAAGACCCTGCGGAATGAAATTAAAATGGGGTCATTCTCAGGAAAAAAAAAAAAGAGGCCTTGTATCTTTCAGATAAACATTTCAGTATCTCTTGTTGAAGTGGGGGAAGGGGGGCAGCAGCAAATCAGGGGCGGGGAACTGTCAGTTGCAACCAAAGCCTGCTTGGCCTTCTGAGCATGCCCAGTTCTTGGTGCTGGTAGCCATCGGGGAGTTTTGAGTCTGCAGTTTCCACTTCGGGTAGAAGAGGCTAGAAGGGAGAGAAGGGGAGGAGGAGGGAGCCGGGAGCCAGGCAGAATCCTGGCTCCAGTGTCAGGAAAATTAACTCATGAATGCCAACACTCATGCTAGAGCTAACCACAACCTTACAGTGCTTGCAAGAAAGTGAAAGGGGCGCTGGGAAAAGGATCCCACATTGATCTCATCCCCCCCCACCCCAAAGAGCAGGATTACTACTAGGGCCCTTCACACGAACTTTAATAGCACAGGGGGATTTTGGTTTTGCTAGTAATGACTGACCCTGGGCTTGGCTGAAACAACCTGCTAACTCCTTGGGGAGACAAGAAGTTTCTGAGATGATCCCTGTAGTCTCAGTTATTGCACTGCGCACCAGTAGGCCTTGGGTATATACTCGGTAGTTTGATAAATATGAACATTTTCCTGAGTGTGCCAGAGGGATTCAAGAACTTAAGTTTCTGGTGGTAGAGATGTTTTTTTTTGTCAAGCAATAGGTATTTATTTTTAACAGGCATGCAGAACTTACTCATCTAAATGATTTTTTTTTTTTGGTTTCTTCCAAACATTACATCTTTGTGTGGATATGCTGTCCCTACCTGTCTTTGTAATTCTTCTTTGGAAGGTTACTAAAGCCATTTTATGAGACACAAAAGACAGAATAATTTGAGAGCAGTATCTTGCATACGATAAGATGAACTATGCCATTTATTCACTGGATAGACTTTTCAGCACATAAAATTCCCAGATAAATGGTTCTTTAGAAATCGCACATCCCAGTGTGTGGAATTACAGTGAGCTGTGAAATCTTGAAGATCTGAGTTTGAATCTCAGTGATCTATGGAATCTTGAAGCTATAAGCTCTGCGTCTGTTTGACCTTGGCAAGATAATTGACCTCCCTGAACTTTATTTCCTCACCTGTAGGGCAATGATGCTGATGGGTTTATGTGATAATAAATGGGAGAATACACATGAAAAGTTTAGTGAGCCTAGAACATAGCATATACTCAATATGTGGTGGTAATCATGCTGGAAAATATTTTTCACTTAAATAATATACATTTTCTAAATAGTTAGGAAACTCTTTTATGGTTTTTCTTTTCTGTTTATAGTTAAATCTACCCTTACAATTAAATTCTGCTTCTGAAGAGGCTTTAAAATACTGGGTTCATTCTGTTTTGAGTAATGGTACCATAGGTGGAATCAGTGTAGAACTGACTACTGGAGGATGAGATACCCTTGAATATTTTATTGTTCTATGATTGTTAGGAAACACTGCCACTTGTCATTTGATTTTATAGTTGCATATTATGTAAGAAACTTCAGGTTAAATCCAGTATTACTGTCCTCTTATTGGGTGTTCTTCTTTGATGTATTTTGACATGTATACCGGATGCTTTGTTTTTATCTCTTTTCTGGGCAGTGAATGCCAGGTTGAATATAATCTTGATTGTACAATGAAATTCGTGAACTTTAGCTATTACAGGCTTGCTTGTAAAACAGATGCTTTCATCTGTAGAGGGTAAACAGGACACTATATTTGGAGCTGGAACACGTGGATTTGAGCTTTGCATGCCCCTTCGGCTAACTGACCTGGGGCAATTAACTTAATTTTGTACCTCAGAATTTCCATCTCTAAAGTAAGGAATGGTAGTAGTAGCTGTCTTTGTTTAGTCTTGGAGGTTTGGAGGGCAAAGGAATAAAATGGGTGAAGGCTGTGAAATGATAAAGTTGCTTTGGGAATTTTTAGATATTTTTATTTAGAACAAAGATAACCAAGGCGTCTTTTTTTTCTTTGCCTCTTACATGTGCTAACACAAGTAGACTGACAGGCCAGTGCATAGGACATATGTGAAAACAAAACAAAAATAGGAAAAGCTGCATAGTTGATGTCACAAAGGAAAAATACTTTTTACTAAAGAGAACTTACAGATTGGCAGTAGTTTATCCTTGCACTTGGCAGGAGTATAGCTAGTGGGAAGGAGAAAGAGAACAGAGGACCATGAGTTTTTTGGTTTTTGTTTTTTCCCTACTGGATGTGAAGATCACTAGACTGAAAGAGAAGAGACAAGAGAGTTCATTTCCCCTCTGTTTAGGAGAGTGCACAGTACTTTTTTCCTAAGGATCAACCCAGAGACAATTAGGCTTAATATAATGTAAAAATATCTTCATTACTCTTTTTCGTAGGTCCTTTTGATGTAAGTAAAGGTTTCATTGGAACAGGAAGTAGATGCAGTTTGGCTGAGCCAGCAGGAGGAAGTACTTGGATTTCAACCCAAACAGATTACCTGACTTAACCTGTATTGTTCATCACAGAGATATGAAAAATAATTTTTATTTTATGGTATTTTCTTTTGTGTGCTAATAGTGATGAGAGATGGATAGTGTTAGCAAAAATGTGGTTTGGAGCCTGTTTTGAAGTGTTCAGCCTGTTTCCTGTGCTGTCTGCAGAGCCTCATAACAAGAGCGAAAGCTTCCTAGCAATTTCTCAGGGGATTGTACAAGAGTTAAATTATTTTCCTTCCAAATGCTTCTTTTTTTTTTATAGCCAAGTTCAAGTCAAACCTGACATAGAATTGAGAATGATAAAAATAAGAATTTGTGATTTCTTCTATTTAGGGTTTTGAAGAGAAACCCTCTTCCACTTTTTCTGTTTACTAAGAGTTAAAGCTTACCAATTTGGAGTACTTTGGTAGTGGTCTTTCAAAGGAAGCTCTACTTTTATAGCAGCATAAATTAAGCATTGTGGTTGTAGCATCAGACTTCGGCCTGGGTTTGCATCTTTCGGCAAGCTCAGTGACCTTGAACAAGTTAATGTAACTTTTCTAAGCCCTGATTGCATCGTCTACAAAACCGGGATAGTAATAGGTGTTGTGAGGATTAAATGAATCCTCCATGAATTATTAAGCATGGAGTCCTGGCACATAATGTCCAGTTAATAGATGTGAGCTATTATTATTGTTATCACCATCAAGTATAGACCCTTGCTGCCAAAATGGGGATAATTATAAAGTTTGGATCTAGTTTTCCAGAGTTTAATAGAATAAGAGGTAGCTGTGATATAATTTAAACAGAACATGGACTGTTGGACTGCTTTCTACATCATTCAGGTGGGTAGGTGTCCCTCCATGGCACCTTCTTGACTTGACGTGTCTAGCTTAATCATCTAAACAGAGCATGAACTTCCCAGTAATTACATCTTTTTATTACATTTTGTTTTATGATGACAGTGTGGCAGTGGTGAACACAAACTCCTTACATAAATATCTATTGAAATTCTAGTTAAATTTGGAAATTAGCTTACTGGTAATTTGGGTGTAAATTTAAAAATGGCTAATTGTAGCAATTTGAGTATATACTGTTTTTAATGTATTCATCCAAATCACCATCTTTATCTTAGTATCTAAGAATCCCTCCCCTTTTTTAAACCAGCTTGCTTCTCTTGCTTGCTTGAACCACTTGAACTATACCTTCAGCTTGGTTTTTATGCTGGTTGTTTTGGAGACAGAGTCAGTATTTTTTATTTTTATTTTTTGCCTTGGCTGACCTTGTATTGAGATCTTCTGGATATCAGCCCCCTGAAGAGCTAGGATTATAGGCAAGAGCCACTGGTGCCTGGCTAAAGTCTTTATTACATTAGAGACACTCTTTTTAAGAGTATATCCACTTAGCACTAAGAGTTTGAATTGAACTTGTCCCTCTCCCATGCATATTTAAGGGCCATGCTGCAGAAATTAATAGTTTTTCCTTTTGTACCTTATATGATATTACTAAAATAGATAAGTACTTCCTCTTTAAATTATATTACAACCTGAAATAATTTGAAGTCTTTGTGCACCATTGCTAACTTCTTAGAGGGGAAACTAATTTCATCCATATATGCAAAAATTAGAGTATGACATAACTGTATTTGTGGTTGCAAAAAGAATAAGGGTTTTTAGCCCATGTTTTGTATGATTTGTCTGTATTATTTAACACTAGTTGCTGCATTCCTTATTTATACCTTCCTTTCTTCGTTTCTGAGTATTCCTAGTAAGGTTAAAAAATTATCTTCAAGTGGTTGTACAAGGAGATTTCAACTTAACATGTCCATTTTGTGTAAAATACATCTCGATTAGAGTCACCCCTTTTACCATTCTCTCCCATCTCCTATTCCTCCAAGTCTCAAGTTTCTCAGTTCAATTTTTATGTATTATTGCCTGCCCAAGTTTTTTAAAAAAATCACATCTACCCACCATTTCATCATCAGTCTCTCTACCTTCAGTAGCACATAGGCATTTAACTGTATTTATTTACATTTACATGGCATGAGTTATTACCTGCATGTGGATTACTTCCAAATAAAATTTTCTACTCCAATTATATCTCTGGAACTAGAGACTTCTATCTCTAACCAGGTTATCTTATAGTTATGAAAAATACAAACTGATTGTCTTTTATCTAAACTGAGATACTTCTTTTTAAATGGCACCACTGTTTATCCAAGAAAAAGAGTTAGGAATCT